CTCCTAATTTACCACTGATTTTCCTTAATTTTTCATGTTTAAATTGATAAAAATCATTCCAATAAAGAGTTTAGGGACCAATGACCTTACCCCTATGAACTTCTCTGAAAATCCCTCTTGAAAAATGCTTCCCAAGCTTCTTCCCGTTTGAAAAGAGGTGAAAAATGGCTAAATTTCGCGAAGACAAGTGTTTATATGTTTCTGCCTAGTTAATCCGCTTCTGCGGCCCTGGGATCGCATCTACAGTCCCGCTTTTGCCAAATAGTGGTTGCATCTGCGACAATCACTAACTCAGCCTGATTCCGCACCTGCGGGACCCAACCGCAGGTGCAGTTATGACAGATATCAGCAGCTTCAGCTGCTTCAAACCACTTCCAAATCCTTCCGTCAACCATCCGAAATCATCCCGAGGCCCCCAGGACCTCAACCGAAAGCACAAACAAGTTTAATACCATTGCCCAAACTTATACCAAATCCTTAAAACACCTAAAACAACATCGAAACAACGAATCAACCACGGATTCAAGTCTAAGAACTCCAAAACTCTAAAAATACGCTTTCGATCAAAAGGTCTATCAAACCTCGTCCGAATGACCTGAAATTTTGTACACACGTCATATTCAAAACTACGAAGCTACTCCAACTTCCGGAATTCCATTCCGACCCTTGGATCAAAATCTCACTATCGAGCCGGAAACTTTAAAATTTCGACTTTTGGCATTTCAAGCCTAAATTAGCTACCGACCTCCAAAACACAATTCGTTCACGCCCCTAAGCCCGAAATCACCCAAAGGAGCTAATAGAACCATCGTCCTTCCATTCCGAGACCGTCTTCACACTGTTCCGACTACGGTCAAATTTCTAGCACTTAAGCTCTCATTTAGGGACTAAGTGTCCCAAAACTCTCCGAAATTCAAAACCGAACATCCCGGCAATTCAAAATAACATAAATAAATACGGAGAAAGCATATAATAGGGGATTGGGTGTAAATTCTTAAGACGACCGGCCAGAACAACAGTTGTTGCAATCCTATTGCTCATGGATTTTCTTAACAAATCAAATGAAGTGAAAGATTGCGGTGAGAGTACAACACCCATGTTCCCGCTAACTTTTTCGACCGTAGTTTCAATTGGCGACACCTGCATAAAATAATATAATAAGATTTCAAGGAAAGCAATCATCAAATTAAAGGAAATAAGACTCTCTGTTTAGGTCAAGTATATGAAATGGGACACTTCTGTACCTTCTTAGGATCTTCGAAAGAATTCTCATCCATCACATTGCTAGATGTTAATGTAGTGTTGTTGCCCCAAAGGACTGCAGTGAGTTCTGCTTCAATCCACCAATAGGGATTTTAAGAGTAACTGTGCTGCTTCCAAAGTTCACAGCCTGGAAATATTATCTTTGACAAATGAGTAACAGATGGAGACTAAGTTGTGTAGCTGCAAAATGAACATCGTTTGATTGTAACAAGTATGAACGCAGACTGAACACCATATAAATCTAGTAAAAACTATAAAAGAGAATCATCGCTAACTCAATCTAGGTATGACATTAGGATTCCAAGCACTATAACCTATGAAATAAGAACATTCTTAGTTTGTTTGACACATCTTGTTTGTTCACAGAGTGCTATGTGATGTTTGAATCTAGATAATGTAAGTTTTGAGACGCGCTAATGATAATCAGTCTATATGAAATTATACACTAGTGTACTTTTAGCTGTTATTATCCAAACCCTTAAATATTCATCAATCAGATCAATAAAGTCCCCACCTTTATTCTTAAGTACTCGTTGACATCAATCTCATTTCTCAAAAATTACATATTGAGACTTGAAAAATGCAGACGCCTCCTTCCTATCCAAACTAGTCATGCACATCTCCAATGTATAAATTGGATTCGAATTATCTGCAGAGACAGCTGAAGATGAATACACATGCAATTCTATCACATAAGTGTTGCCACCTGAAGCAAGTTTACCAAAATAGCTGGCGAGCACAACTACTTCAGAAAAATGGCGATGTGGATATGGCTGAGCCCCGGAAAAGGAAAAACATCCACGAGTTTGCATTATTTTTTTCACTCTCAAATTAAGTGCATCAGCTAACTTCAGGATGGGCGGGATTGACAAAAGCAGTTGGTAGTTGCCATAAGTTTTGATTATGATCTTGTAAGGGTACACAAAGAGGCTAGACTCTGAAAGGACATAAGAATCCACTTCATCATTTGCCAAAGATGACATAATGGTGCGTTCAGCTGGTGTTAGAATTTCATCCATCAAAGATTCCTAAGTCAAACAAGGAAAATCTCATGTCGCTTTTCATAACCTTCAAATCCAATAGCCGAGACTGGCAAGGCCATCTTGCCTTGGTAGAACAAGTGCTTAGGATGTGGATCAAGAAAAAGCTGAGACGACTAAAAATCTAAACTAGAAGTACAGTAACAGTACAGCACGAGAAATCTCATGGCTCGCGCACGCGCTGCATTTGAGAAAAATGGAACAGAACAAACAGTTAGCGTAAATTGGCTGCACCAGATTCACAAACAACTTTGGAATGCGAAAAGTAAGAGGTACACTCACGTTGGAGTAAGCAGCAGATCTGAATTTCTTGATTCCACCGTGTGGTCGAACGTCCTCAATAGTGTAACCAAGGGGAGCTTCGTACGTACAATAGGGATTTACTACTGCTAGACTTCTTCTTCCCACCCTTAGGCTCCATTAGACCATTCAATCCTACCTGTTTAAACCATAGGGACAAAAAAATTAAGACTAGCTAGTCACAAGAAAAGTCCAGAACAAGATAAAAAACGACAGATCTACAACTGCAGACAATCTGAAGACATATATTTCCAAGTGGAAAAACTAGGGCGGCTCCACATTGTTGGTGCCCTAAAACCATATCTTGACGAGGGCCTTTTTTTTTAAAAAAAAAATCTTATATATTTTTAGTTTAAGTCTATTTTCCTTACTTTTTGAGACGCAAAGTTATTAGTATTTTGTTTATAATCAATTTATTCTAATAATTCTTTTTTGCTTAATAATATAGCTAATCCATTTTAATGTATCTTGAGACATTATTGATCCTAGGTAAGGTTGTATTACATTAAAATTTAATAAACTTCTTCCCGCAAATACAACTGTTAAAGGAACATTATTCGATAAGGAATATAGATATTTGAAAAAGAATCAAGTCTTACCTTTTCAAGTCTTGTTAGCTGATTAAGTATATCGATTAGGGCATTATTTCTACTTATAGTATTTCCATTAATGCTTTTAGTTGGAAAAATAAGTCTAAACTATCCATCAAAGTAACTTTTCTCAGATTCTCACCTAGTGATCTCAAAATTTCCCACTAAATAAAAATTATACATACTTTTCACGCTTCAGATTATTCAAACCTCTATGGTCGAGATCAGTGACAAATTAATCAAAGTTTTCTTTTCTTTTTCTATTAAAAATTTATTATTTTTTACTTTAAAATATTCAGCTTTTTAAAAAAATTCTTAATTCTTAGAATTACTACTAGTAAAAAATAGGTCCCCTAAACTTTGGGCCTAAAGCAATTGCTTGGATGCCTTACCCTTGAGCTGGCATTGGAAAAAACAAGCAAGTGATTTAGCATGCAAATAAACAAGATTTCCCGAAAATAAATTATACTTTATGGCTAGCTTTACAATTCAAATACTCTAGGTAATTATGAAACAAATCAGCAAATGGAAATGAGATGAATGTAAAAATTAGGCAGCAACGTTCTACGAATCTAGGATTGAACTCGAAGGTGAGAATCCAAATTGCATATAGAGTTGAGTAGAGCAAGATCTTGAACCTAAGTAGCGGGAACAGATCCGCGGTTATGATAGACTTATACCTAATCGCTTTGTTTGGTTACTATACAGGAATTAATATTAATGTGTCCTTGTTAATTCTAATTTCATAGAAATATAAGTATTAAGTTAGCTTGAATAGGCGAGTAGTACTTCGGTCGAATGCTACGAGTAATATTATTCCTGTCAATCAATAAACCAGATAAATTAATTAGATAATTTATGTGGAAGATCCAACAACATTGTTAGGTGACTCATGGCTCTGGAATATTTTCTCTCATTTAATCCGTATCTAAGCTTGTCGAGTTGTTTTCTTTCAATGTCTTAGTTTACTATTCTAGATTAGTTTTAGTTAAACAACCACACTTTGAAAATCGCTTGAATAGATTAGTTATTTTGCTTAATTTAGTTGATAATTAATCACGCGTCCTCGTGGGAACAATACTCGACTCACTTGCTATTACTTGTCGACCACGCATACTTGCGTGTGCATGAAACATCTTAATTCCTCATTTGCTTATTTATACTCTTCACTTTTGTAAATCGTTTCCCTAAATCTGGAAAAATTCTTCAAGATGAAATTTCATCGTCACTTTATGGATAGCAAACGCAAGTACAAGGAGTACCATGAACAATATCTCAAGATAGATGGTGGTAGAACGAACAAGTTTTTGCTCAAAGATGGAGTTCGCACTCCAAAGGACTTGCTATAGGTGGTCAGGGCTATGAATTTCCGTCCATTGGGACTCATGAAGTTATTTTCCAATTAATAAGTGTGATATTGCTTGTAAATGATTGTTTATTAAACATACATTTCTTTGGTTTTGTCATTTAATCGACTATCAAAGAAGTGTAGATTAGTCCCCATACTTCTACATATATACATCTTAAACTTATCATATACCATCTGTGCTTAGTCATGTTCTGAGTTTCCATTTCTTAACGTATAATTTATTGCATAGGAATATTATTTAATTTTCCAGAACACAAGCACTGAGTTGTGTTTCAATAACAATCATCATTTGGTTTCTAGTAGATATGCCTCACTTCTATCGTTTAAGCATGACAATGATGCGTAGCAGCTATTAAACAAGAACCACACATTATAATGGAATCATACTGCAGAGACTTTGCTGGTAAAGAAGCTAGCAATAGTCCTCTGGTTCAATTCTTTATTTTTAATGATATCGTGATTCTTTTGTGCTCATCATAGACGATTTAAAAAAAGAAAAAACAGATAACATTTCTCCTAGTCCTAAAAACGTATATTTGAATTACATTATCCAGTCAGGGGCGGATGTAGTATGTTGATGACGGGTTCAATTGAACCCATAATTTTTTATGCGTTATATGAAAAAATCCGTTAAAATTATAAAAATAGTAGATATGAACCCATAACTTTAAAAATATAATGGTTCAATGCTAAAACCATAAAAGTTGAACCTATAAAGTTTAAATCCTGGATCCGCATATGTATCCAGTCACTTATCAAACATGTGTATTTGTTCTTATTTTGAAGACCTCAAATAACTTCAAAGCCATGTTAAATTTCCTAACATTATTCGTTCTATTCTCTTTATAAAGAAGTCCTATGGACACAGATCATACTGTAACTGCGGTAAATCAAGCTGGGAAATTAAGGAGAATCAAACATTATTATTAGATAAAACCAAAGAAGGTAGCAATTCATGACATAATCGCACTGACACAGCTTCCTCCTCTTCTTCAAATCGGAAACATAAAACACCTTAATAATACTCAAACCTAAGTAACTGATTCTTCCCCCCGTTTCTGAATTAAAAAGTTTTTTAGAAAAAAAAGGTAGCTAGCAGCTTAAAGGTTAAACAAAAATGTCCGCGATGTGAGATGCGTGGTTTTAATTGTTCATGCCAGTAGCATTTTTAACTGCATCTGCTGCCCCTTGTGCTGTGGCCTTCATTTGCTGTCCCGCCTATAAGTAACATCAAAGCACACAGATTACACGATGTCTATGCATATAAGTTAAACTCTGAATGAGTCAATCACCACATTAGAGAGACGTGATAGTTCAACTTGATTTAATGTGTAAATCAACAGATTAATTAACCTCTTGCATTGTTTCCTTGGCAGACTGTGCAGCGCTGCCAGCTTTTTCCATCATCTGATTACCCTTTTCCTGATACATGCATATGTACCAATTTTACACCTACATTAGAAGTTGCAACGGAAAAGCAAAGAGTGAAATTTATATATACCAACAGTGTAAAATTCTGACCTGAGCTTGACCCTTAGCCTGGCCAGCTTGGCAACCCATGCTCTGAGAATTATCCATGTATGATTTGCTTTTGAAATAGAGAACAAATTAAACGGAAACTTTTAAGTAGTTTGTAATTTATTGGAGCTGAGTGGATATTTTGTTGCTTTAGACAATATTTTATGTATTTATAGCTCGCGAAACCCACCCGGTGCTTGACACCTGTATATCTGTATTATACGTTGAAATTAAGCTTGGCCAAAATTGATTCTGATGCAGCGGCCCTCAAGACTAGGAGGAAGTTGGAAAACATTGGTTGTTTCTTTGTGTATGTGAGAGAGAGAGAGAGACCGGAGTAGTTATTCCTT